CCTTTGTTTGAGTCCACTGCTGCGTCTGCCCTAGCTGCTGAGCTTATTGACTTTGCTGTCGTCTGTCGTCTCGAGTACGCCTGTCTTGTTGTTGAGTCTAAGTCTGCCTGTCCTCCGTCCGTCAGGGGTGAGTGTGCTCTTGGCACGGACGTCCTTCAGGACAGGTAGGAGGACTTTGAGTGTCTTGCAGCTACTGTAACTCATCTCGTGGCCATGCTGCTTGCCCCTGAGGGAGACCCGGATGCACCAGACATCCGGACCCCGCGCTCTTACGAAGAGGCGATTACGGGTCCCTACTCCTCTCAGTGGCAGACAGCCATGGACGCAGATATGGCATCATGGAAGTCCACAGGCACCTACGTCGACGCAGTTCCCCCTTCTTGGGCGAACATAGTCGATGGCATGTGGATTTTCAGGGTGAAGCGGCTGCCTGGTTCTCCGCCTGTCTTCAAGGCTCGTTACGTTGCACGAGGCTTCAGTCAGCGACAGGGAGTTGACTTCTTCCAGACCTTCTCCCCTACCCCGAAGATGACCTCTCTTCGGGTGTTGCTGCACGTCGCAGCTCAGCATGACTAAGAGCTGCACTCTCTTGACTTCAGCACAGCTTTCCTGTAGGGCAGCCTGCATGAGGAGATCTGGCTGCGCCGCCCACCTGGCTTCACTGGGTCGTTTCCTGCTGGTACCCAGTGGAGCCTCCGGCGGCCAGTCTACGGTCTCCGCCAGGCACCCCGTGAGTGGCACGACACACTCAGGACGACTCTTGCTTCTCTTGGTTTTACTCCTTCCACTGCTGACCCTTCTCTGTTTCTACGCACTGACACTATTCTGCCGCCGTTCTACGTTCTCGTGTACGTAGACGACCTCATCTTTGCTACTGCTGACACTGAGGCACTCGCCCACGTGAAGTCCGAACTGCAGAAGAGACACACGTGCACAGACCTGGGTGAGCTGACAAGCTATCTTGGCTTGCGGATCACCCGGGACAGAGCACAGCGCACCATTACCTTTACTCAGTCACACATGGTGCAGCAGGTCCTTCAGCGCTTCGGCTTCCGGTACTCCTCGCCACAGTCCACTCCTCTGCCTACCGGTCACTCGCTCTCAGCTCCACCTTCGAACGAGTCCGTAGAGCCGAGTGGCCCGTATCCAGAGCTTGTGGGCTGCCTCATGTACCTGATGACCTGCACTCGACCTGACCTTGCCTACCCTCTTAGCATCCTGGCACGCTACGTTGCGCCCCAGAGACACCGACCAGAGCACTGGGAGGCCGCTAAGAGGGTGTTGCGCTACTTGTGCAATACTTCGGGCATGGGGCTCGTGCTTGGAGGACGGGGTCCAGTTGTCCTCACTGGACACGCAGACGCTTCTTGGGTTGACGACTTGGCTACGCAGCGGTCGTTACAGGGTTACACCTTCAGGCTTGGTTCTGGCTCTGTTTCTTGGCGGTCTACTCGCTCGTCTTCTGTTCTCAGTTCCAGTTGTGAGGCTGAGATCTACGCATAGGCCATGGCTGCACAGGAGTTACGCTGGCTCACCTTCCTGCTGAGCGACTTGGGAGAGCGGCCTCGTTCTTCTCCAGTTCTATACGTAGACAACAAGGCCATGATTGCCTTGTGTCAGGAGCACAGACTTGAGCACAGAACGAAGCACAGCGCTCTGCGTTACTTCCTTGCTCGAGAGTTGCAGCAGCGTGGTCAGCTTCGTCTTGCTTACGCGGCCAGTCGGGCCAACACTGCTGATATATTCACCAAGGGCACTTCATTCTGGTGATCATCAGCGTTTCTATACTGTTTTAGGCCTTGTGCCTACTTTGCCTCACTTGCTCACTGCCTGAGCTTGCTTTGCTTTTCTTGGCTGGTCTTGTGACCACTTCTTCTCCCCCACTTTGCCAATGGGGGTGTGTTAAAACTGTTATAATGCTTACTTTGTGTAGGCTGTAGTGGGGTAGCCTATAAGGGGTACAACCCAATTTGGGTTAGTACTTGTACCCAACTTCTGTTCAATCCAATCATTCTGGTTCCACAGTTCAGACACTCCGGAGCTGTATCGTGGAGACTGATGCGAGCATCGTCGGTGGCTTCGTGCAGTGTTGCTGCATAGATCTATGTCACTGACTTAGGTGAGCCGCCTAGCTCTGCCCCGACCATGTTCGATGACAAGAAGACATTGTTTCCGATATATCGGGAGGCTCGATTGGAGGGCAGAGTGAAGCATATCGATATGTGGTACTTCCTGCTGCGAGAGATACAGCGACGCGGCCAGGCATGATTGGTCTCTGTGGCCTTAGAGTCTAACACTGCAAACATCTTCACCAAGGCCCTCCAGCTTTGTGATCATCACAGATTCTGTTCGCAGGTTGGCCTTGTTCTTACAATATCTAGTACAAATCTGTATCCATGTTTGACTGACGTCCGAACGTCACTAGAGGCTCCAACTTCGGCCTCAAGCAACCATCAAAGCCCTTCTGTTTGCGGATGTGGACATCTGGAACGTTGAGGTAAAACATAAGTACTTGTGTTACATTCGGTAGATAGATAATCTTAGCTTAGTAATATCATATCGCGATTCTTTGTAGGAATGTTCTCGTTGACTTTCTGTAGAAGAGCATCCTGTACGTGATTGTCGTGTTGCAATCCTCACACCAAGCAGAAAAGCAACACAGCAGTTCAGGAACAGCGAGCCTTTCCTGACACCTTGCTCGCCCAGCCACGAATCGGGCGGTATGGTTGCTGAAATTTGTGACGCAACCAATCACAGCGCACATTCACACCTCAACATGACGGCTGCTCGCTTGGGCAGTTGCTCCACACGTAAATCATTCGCGGGTAGCCTCCCAAGCGCCGTCCACTTTGGGCACCACAAACGTTAAAAGTCGGTAGCGTCTTGGTCTGGCAACCACCAAGCTCCGTCGTGCATCGGGTTTGGCTCGATTCGCCGGATTCGCGAAACTTCAGCGTTTCGTCACTGCTGGCGTGGATGGGGGTCTGTGCGTGCTGGGACACGTGGCGGGAGTGGATTGTTTGCGGTTGAGACAAGGGCGCAGGCCAGCGGAGAAACGTGGGGTTTGAAGTGCAAACGAACAGTGCACGCTGCGCCCAACCTTTCTTTCACCAATTCCCGAATTCTCCTCCAGAAGAGCGCGGCTCGAATCGCGCCCCTCTCAGCTGCACGAAATTAGCGCCTCATGCTTTCTTTCCTCACAGCTGTTTCACCAGATGAACCAGCAGCAGCAAAAACAAAAGCATCAAAAGAAACGCCAGAGGCAGGGCGCGGCCACAACCACCTCAAGCCATCCATTAGTGAGCAAGCACCCTCGGAGGACGCGGTTCGATTAGAAGTAGTTTACCTACCATGCCTCGAAATACATGCTAGATTCCTGGTTCAACACGTGACAGGATCCCAATCTCCTAACTCCGTGACGTATTCCTTCGTTCACCACCATTCCACATGCCGTCCTTACCCTTCCAGGGCTCTAAGCAGATATATGCACAAGGCAGCTTCTTGTTCAGCTTATAATACGTGTTTCTGTTAGTTCTGTCTTCAGCAGTTCTCATTAGAGAGCGGGGGTTGACCCCTCGCACCTCCCGAGCAGCACGGAGGAACCTTTTCTTTCTCGCCAAGCGCGGGGAGCCGACGAAGCTGACATGCAGCAATTACGCCCGCGTCCGCTCCCGCTGCCCCACGCGCAGCCGCAGAGCCAATCACAATCGAGATACGCGTCGCATTCCCAGCGAATAGACATGACTAGTAGGCCAATTATGGAAAAGCGCGCGAAATTGCACGACTCGGAGTCGTGCGACGCCACTAAGTCGTTTCGCAAGGCGCGCTGGCAACAGTTCCAGCAAACTGCAGCGGATAAGCTTTATTCAGTGACGTGGTAAGCTTGACGTTATTTTGTTTGATTAAGCTTCTGCTTAAGGTGTAAGATAAACCCCGTGCTCTGGTACCCCTCGTTAAGTTGTGTGCCATGCTGTGGTGAGATACCTCGAACATGGCAAACCGTATCTGCTGAGGTGACTTGCTTCTTTGAGTGAAGTGGTAAGCCGTGTGGAACTGGCTGGATCGAGAAAACGGGATGCGGGTAGAGCCACTCCATAATCTGGCGCGTGGCGTGCTCCCCGTTGATTCCCTCGCGCTCTTACGCGGGTAGCTTGGAGGCATTCCCCCTCGCTGAGACAACCGCCCGTTCCCCGCCCTACCCCTTGTGCCGCCCGTTATCTCGCACGCCGCGCCCATCCCTCACCTTGTCCCTCCAATTCTCCCCAAGACCCCTTCTTCCACCACGCCCTCCCCTGATTTTCCTTCCCCTTCTCCCCCTCTGACCTCCCCCTTCTGTTCTGCGAGGAAGTAGTAGTGATTGTCATTTTCACGCCCGTGCCCGTAACGACGTGCCTCATCGGCGCGCTGCTGCTGCGTCAGCACCAGTCCAATACCGTATCCCTTACCCCCTCTCCCCCTCCTTTCCATTTCAGGGGGTTAGCAGTGCTTGTTTTCACGTCCGTGCCCGGAACGACGTTCCTCATCGGCGCGCTGCTGCTGCCGTCAAACGCTGTTCTTGCGCTCCTCGCCGTGTGGCTCGTTATAGAGTCGGTGTTTTTCGTGTTTCGTTCTAAGCAACTAAAGCAAATCAGTGACGAGTATGTGGAGCTCCCGCTCCCATCGCGCGAGGAGATCTCCGCGCTCCTCGACCGGGTCCTGGCCGTCGCGTAAGTCAACGCAGTCAAACGAAAATCAATGCGGTTGCGTAACGCCACCCCGTTCGTTTGCACCTTATTTGTCAGTTGGCTCAAGCCGCCGTGTTAAGTCAACGCCCGTCGGATGAGTCAACGCTGTTGCATTACGTCGATGCTCCCCGCCTGATTTCCCCACCTTTATTCACCCCACCTCTCATATCCCTCCCCAATCCCCCCTATCTTCGTCGTCTGGACCTGACCCTTCTCTCCCTCGGTCGTGTTAACAGGAAGCAAGCGGATTATAATGATTTCGTGGGAGGTTGGTTCATGGGTGCGTCTCTCGCGTCTTTAACGCGTACAAACGTTCGCCAGTTCATCTCACACGGCTTCTTCCACCGCTTCTATAACGAGCTCTCGAGCGAATACCAAGAAGCAGTCGAAGGTAACAAAGCGTCTTTAGCGCGTACAGACCCTTGTTTTATATTTTGTACTCCCGACTACCCGTCGCTCCCCTTGCTGGAATTCCTTCCGCGTAGGTAAGTCTCCCACTAAACGTCTGTGGAGTCAACGCAAGTCAACGACCCTGTCCTTCCCCATTGTGCTTTCCAGAACTTGTTGACCGAGCCGAAGCGGGCCTAGGAATGCACTTTAAAGACCCCGACGCGCCGGCTCCGCCTCCCCCCGACCTGCTGTCCTTCCGCTCCGACAGTGAGGGGGAGAGCGATGTGGGGGAGGAGAGGGGGGAAAGCGAAAGTGGGGACGGGGACGAGAGCGGGGAGAGCGAGAGTGAGAGCGAAGCGGCGGCAAGACCAATGCGTACCGCCGTTGACGCCGTTCTCGGTGGCTCCGCCGTCTGCGGCCCGCTGGAAGCGGCGGCAATCGCGGCGTCCTCAAGGAGCCTCGGGCGGAACTGGAGCGACGCGCAGCTTCCGCGAACGAGCGGGAGCAGCGCCGATTGTGGAAAGGGGGAAGGGGAAGAGGCTGGGAGCGGAAGCGAGGGAGAGAGAAAAGGGGAAGACGACGCGGGATTTGAGTCGAGCGGAGGGGGGAAGGAGGGGAATGGGGGGAAGGCGGAGAGGCGGAAGAAGGAGAAGGGGGTTGACGAGTCGGTGCGCTTCATGGCGCACACGCGCGAACCCCTCCGCGCCATCATCCACCCGCTCGCCTTCTACGTCTGGTGCGCCCCCCCCTTATTACAGTGCATCGCTCCCTCCCCACATCTCGCACCCCCCTCCCTCTCCCGCCTTCTCCCATTCACCCTGCGCTCCCTCTCCACTCCCACCTCCCCCTTTCACTCTCCGCCTCCCTCTACCCTCCCTCTTCCGCCTTCTCCCCCTCACCGCGCGCCTCCAGCTTCCCCGTGTTGCCCCCCTCTCACTTCGCTCCCCCATTCCCCCTAGTGTTCTCCTACACGCCAGTTTGCTTCCGCAACCCGCGCATGCGCTCCCCTGTCTTCCCCTACCTTACCCCACGTCTCCCCCTGCCCGCATGTATCTGCAGGGGCCACATCGTCGGGCTCCTCACCGCCGCCGCCATGCGCCTCCTCGGCTTCTCCAAGTACGCGTCCCTCTTTACCCCTCTTGACCTCCGTTGAACTCCGTTGACCTCAGTTAAGCTCCGCTGATCACCATTGTTGACCTCAGCGGACTCAGTTGACCTCGTTGACAACGATTCCTTAGCCGCGCTTGATCGCTCTTGACCTGTGTTGACCTCAGTTGACTAACCTCGACTCCTGTTGACTCGCCTTGACTCCCCCTCTTCCCCGCCGTCCCCCCTCCGTTGACTTGCGTTGACCAGGCAGACCGCACCCAACGGCATTCACTACTGGTTCCGCGCTCCCAAAAAATCGACGCCAAAGGTGTGCTCTCAGTGCTGATGTGGAAATCCAGCTGACGTGGAAATCCATTCACTTATCTCAACCACTTATCCATGCGTTTTCTTGCACCCCCTTTTCCGTGGCTCCCAATCTAATGGACCCATGGTTTAGTGTTCTGCTTGTATCTAATCTCTTCTCCTCCGTCCATCCCTCTTGCACCCATCATCCCCTATCATTGAGGTGAGTTTTGAAGCGCCTCAAAACTGATTTAATATCTTCTCCTCCATCCCTCAATCTCGCCCCCATTATCCCCTATCCCATCCCTCCCTTCCTCCCCCCTTTGAAACCCTCTCACTGTCGCACCTCCTCCTTCCCCCTTCTTGGGCCCCCTCCCCCATTCTCCATCCCCCCTCCCCCCTCCCCCCTCCCCCATTGGCCCCCACTTCCCCTGTTCGCAGCGCAAGTCCCACAAGGCAGCAGCAGTGGTGCCGATTTTCGACATGTCAGCAGCACCGACCGCGCCGCTGCTTGGCGCGAGCGGGGGGCGCGTGAGAAGGGAGGAGGCGGGGGAGGCGGAGGGGGAGGAGGGGGTGGTGCTGGTGCACGGGCTAGGGCTCGGCCTCACTCCCTACCTCTCGTTCGTCCACATGCTCTCGAGAAGCTACTCGAAAAAGGTAAAAAGTCACGTTGATGTCACGTCGAGAAGTGGTGGCAGTTACCGCTAACGTTGCTTTGCTCCATATGCTTCCTATGCACCGTAGCAGTCAACGGCAAGTGTCACCACTTCTATTTTTCTCTTCACTTTCCTCTCTATAAACTGTATATCTATTCTTTGTTCATCCTTCTCCATTCATTAATTTTGGATGTTCTTCTTCAGAAGCTGATAGTGGTGGAGCTGGCACATCTGGCAGTGCGCCTGTCCACGTCATCACCCACCATCGATGATGTGTCAGACGGGCTAACTGACGCGATGGCGGTTCACGGAATGCAATCAGCCATCTTCGTGGGGCACTCGTACGGCGCGCTCGTGCTCGCTCGGGTATGTTTCTACATGTGGTAGAGCGTATACATATGAACATAAGATTTAAGGGTTTAAGTGTACTATCAGATTATTACAGCAAGGCATGGGACGGCGTAATTCAATGCGTGCTATTATTACTCGCCCTCTCTCCTCTGTGCCCCACCAACCCCTCCCCCCTTTCACCCTCCCTCTCCTCACCTTCCCCCCTCTTCCCCCTCCCCTCTCCCCGCCTCTCCCTCCCCCCCAGCAAGTGCGCAAGCGTCCTGAGACAGTCAGCGCCATGGGCTTTGTGGACCCGGCCTGCTTCCTGCTCTGCCTCCCTAAAGTGCTCTTCAACTTTATTTATAAGTACGTAAATTCCCTGAATACGACTTCCCATGTAGTACCATCTGAGTGTTTCCTGCCCTGCCTCCCGAGTTACTTCTCCAGGTTTTAAGTTTGGCTCCTGCCGTGTATCCATATGTGCTTTATTTACCTATTGCCTGCCTCTTCCCGCCTCCCTCCTCCCCCATGTCATGCTTGTTCGTTTCTTTCCTGTTTTCCTCCCTTCCTGCACCCCAACCTCGTTCGTTGCTTGCCCCCACTTCTCCTCTCCGCGCCACTCCCCAGAGTCCCCGGCTCCCCCTCAATAGGCGACACAACAGCAGAGGCTGTGAGGTGGTTCCCCCTTCACAGCCTCACAGGAACCACTCCCCTGTGCGGGAGGGAGCTGCAGGTGGCAACACTCCCCCCAGCTGCCCCATTCCCTTACCCACTGCCCACTTCCCCACTGTTTACCCATGCTGTGTTCCATTCCTCAGGGTCCCTGGCTCCTCCTCAATAGGCGACACAACAGCAGAGGCTGTGAGGTGGTTCCCCCTTCACAGCCTCACAGGAACCACTCCCCTGTGCGGGAGGGAGCTGCAGGTGGCAACACTCCCCCCAGCTGCCCCATTCCCTTACCCACTGCCCACTTCCCCACTGTTTACCCATGCTGTGTTCCATTCCTCAGGGTCCCTGGCTCCTCCTCAATAGGCGACACAACAGCAGAGGCTGTGAGGTGGTTCCCCCTTCACAGCCTCACAGGAACCACTCCCCTGTGCGGGAGGGAGCTGCAGGTGGCAACACTCCCCCCAGCTGCCCCATTCCCTTACCCACTGCCCACTTCCCCACTGTTTACCCATGCTGTGTTCCATTCCTCAGGGTCCCTGGCTCCTCCTCAATAGGCGACACAACAGCAGAGGCTGTGAGGTGGTTCCCCCTTCACAGCCTCACAGGAACCACTCCCCTGTGCGGGAGGGAGCTGCAGGTGGCAACACTCCCCCCAGCTGCCCCATTCCCTTACCCACTGCCCACTTCCCCACTGTTTACCCATGCTGTGTTCCATTCCTCAGGGTCCCTGGCTCCTCCTCAATAGGCGACACAACAGCAGAGGCTGTGAGGTGGTTCCCCCTTCACAGCCTCACAGGAACCACTCCCCTGTGCGGGAGGGAGCTGCAGGTGGCAACACTCCCCCCAGCTGCCCCATTCCCTTACCCACTGCCCACTTCCCCACTGTTTACCCATGCTGTGTTCCATTCCTCAGGGTCCCTGGCTCCTCCTCAATAGGCGACACAATAGCAGAGGCTGTGAGGTGGTTCCTGTGTGGGAGGGAGCTGCAGGTGGCGCGTGCTCTCTGCCGTGGCTTCAACTGGTGAGTTTCTCCTGGGGTAGGTCGTATCTGCATCAAGTGATGGGGCTCACTTGGGGTAGGTCGTATCTGCATCAAGTGATGGGGCTCACTTGGGGTAGGTCGTATCTGCATCAAGTGATGGGGCTCACTTGGGGTAGGTCGTATCTGCATCAAGTGATGGGGCTCACTTGGGGTAGGTCGTATCTGCATCAAGTGATGGGGCTCACTTGGGGTAGGTGCCTTCTTGACGGAGCTGCAGGTGGCGCGTGCTCTCTGCCGTGGCTTCAACTGGTGAGTTTCTCCTGGGGTAGGTCGTATCTGCATCAAGTGATGGGGCTCACTTGGGGTAGGTCGTATCTGCATCAAGTGATGGGGCTCACTTGGGGTAGGTCGTATCTGCATCAAGTGATGGGGCTCACTTGGGGTAGGTCGTATCTGCATCAAGTGATGGGGCTCACTTGGGGTAGGTCGTATCTGCATCAAGTGATGGGGCTCACTTGGGGTAGGTGCCTTCTTGACGGAGCTGCAGGTGGCGCGTGCTCTCTGCCGCGGCTTCAACTGGTGAGTCGCACTGCTTGCTCTCTGCCTTGGGTGTCACCTGGGGTAGCTGGTATCTGAATAAAATATTGCACGTGGCGCGTGCTCTCTGCTGTGACTTCAACTGGTGAGACAGACTCACTGCTCTCTGCTTTGGGTGTCAGCTGGGGTAGGTGGTATCTGAATCAACTGGTGCAGGTGGCACGTGCTTTCTGCCGCGGCTTCAACTGGTGAGCCTCACCGCCTGCTCTGAGTGTCAGCTGAGGTAGGTGGCATCTGAATCAACTAATAAGAAGAATGACTCGCTGCTCTTTGCTTTGGGTGTCAGCTGGGGTAGGTGGTATCTGAATCAACTGGTGAAACCAGTCACTGGACTCTGCTTTGGGTGTTAGCTGGGTTAGGTGGTACCTGACTCTGGCGGTGCTGCTGGTTCCAACCGGTGAGTTCTGCATCTGCCCTCTTTTCCCTCTGCCCTCGTCCTCAGTTCGCGGGCATGCCTACCAGGTGTGGGCGGGGGTGACATGCCCGTGCATTATTTATTTAGCCTCTTCTCTAATCACCTCATTCACGCCCCCTCTCGCACCTTTTCTGCTCTCCTTTTCTTCTCAACCCCTCTCCATGTGAAGGCACGCCAAACAGGTGTGGGTGGATGATATTTCCTCCCTTTGCACTGCACGGTTTTACAGGTGTGGGAGAATTCTAAAAAGTAACACCAATGCATCTGCCTGCCCCTTTCCACTCATCCATTTCCACTGCCCCTCTGCCCTCCCCTTTCTTGTCCCCCCTCTCTCTGCAGGCACTCATACCAGGTGTGGGCGGACGACATCCCCGTGCATCGCTCGGTGGTGATGCTGGCAGGGCAGGACCAGATCGTTCCCTCGGAGCACATCAGAAAGTGAGTGAGAGGGGTTGAGAGGGATGGGAGGGGTGGGAGGGGTGGTCATAGCAGTTCGGGTTGGTGCCATGCTCAGTGATGCTGGCAGGACAGGACTAGATCGTTCCCTTGGAGCACATCAGGAAGTGAGTGAGCCTAGTAGTGGAGGGGGGTTGCTGGTGTGATACTCCCATTGGTGGTGGTGGTGGTGGTGGGAGGATGCATGGCCGTTGGGGGGAAAGGGGGGGGAAGGGGGGGGGGGGGGGGGGGTTGAGGGTTTTTGGCATTGGTGATGCCAGAAAAGGGGGGAAGATTGGCCGTTGCTGCCACGGTCAGAGCTCCCCCCTTACAGGGCAGGACCAGGTCGCTCTCTTAGAGTGCATCGGATAGTGAGCCTAGCGGTGGGGATCTAGTAGGTAGTAGGGTGGGGAGTGGGGTTGTGGGGTGTGCAATGGATACCTGGGATGAGAAGAGAGGAGAGGAGAGGAGAAGAGAGGAGAGGAGAGAAGAGAGGAGAGGAGAGGAGAGGAAAGGAAAGGATGTCTGAGAAGATCGTTGGGTTTGGGATGCAGCATTTACCATCACTAGCCTAGATTGTTCCCATTGCTCACCTCTTTCCACCTCTCCCCTCGATGTACAATGACGGTTACCGTGCCTTGACTGCTCTGTCCTCGCCCCTTCTCCCCCTTCTCTTCCTCCTCTCTCCCCCCCGCTCCTCTCTCCCCGCCTTTCTGCAGCTACCTGGCCAACACGCCAGTGGATGTGATGTACAACGATGGTTACCACCATGCGCAAATACTCTTCAGGTATATATCACACGCACACCAAGTTAACCTTGTCTCTGCACTACCTTTTTCCTCCTTCAGGTCTGCCCACGCAAGAAAAAATCGATCACCTTGCTTTCTCTCGTTCCGTTTCCCCCTTTTCAAGTCCCCCTTTTTTGTTTCCCCCTTTTCGATTCGCCCTTTTCCCTTCACCTGTCACCATTTGCTCTCCCTCTCCCCGTCCTCACTCTCCCTCTCTCCCTCTCCCCGTCCTCACTCTCCCTCTCTCCCTCTCCCTGTCCTCACTCTCCCTCTCTCCCTCTCCCTGTCCTCACTCTCCCTCTCTCCCTCTCCCTGTCCTCACTCTCCCTCTCTCCCTCTCCCTGTCCTCACTCTATCTCTCTCCCTCCTCTCCTGCCCATCTCCCCCTCCTCTGCCTCTTCTCTCTACTCTCCCTCTTCTCCCTCTCCTCTGCCTCGTCTCTGCCTCGCCTCGCCTCTGCCTCGTCTCTTCTCTCCTCTGTCTCTCATTTTCTTCTCTTCCCCACAGCGATGCCAAGCAGCGGGAGTTCATCACGCGCCTCAAGGCAGCTTGCCGCTGACCCCCCTCGATGATTGAGTTGATAAGATCAACCGTAGATTCATCAGCTAAAGCAGCCGTGGCTTCGTCTGTGAGAGTCCCTCATTTGAGTACCCACGTGGGTGCGTGAGGTTGACTAGTGCACCACGTGGGTGCGTGAGGTTGACTAGCACATGGTGGCGCTTAAGTGAAGGCAGATGCTGGCATCTTGTTGCATGGCTGGAGGAAAGAAGCCAACGAGTGCATTGCAGCTCGTGTCAGCATGCTCCCGAGGGGGCTGGGAATAAGCTGCGCGATTCTTTCTGTTTGTCGTCTAACCACCAGACTGACTTGCAGTGGCAATGGAAGCAGCAGCAGCAGCAGCAGCAGCCGCAGCAGCAGCCGCAGCAGCAGCCGCAGCAGCAGCAAGAGCAAGAGCAACAGGGTTGCAATAAGAGGTTCATGTGACATCAGTCACTACACTAACATATCATTTGCACGCTCACTGACAGGTCCTCTATGGAGGATGGTCCAGACTGAGAAGGTACTGTCCAGCAACGAGGGTGTATTTTTTTGTTGTAGATGTAGTCAACTAGGATACCAGTTAATGCTAGAGCCATTTTGTTATGTAATGCTCGTGCTGCTGCTGCTGCTGCATCTATGAAGGAAAAGGGAATAGCAGTTGAATGGCCAATCTTGTCAATTTTATTTGATACACGGTGTTAAAATTGACCAAAAAATTTTAAGAACCGCATATCAAATAAGAGAAGCTTGCTTCTTGCTGCTGTTGTAGGGCTAATAGAGGGGACATGTTTTCCCGCCAGATCACAACTTCGGCGCGTGGCGGGCACTCGACTTGTCCACATCCATTGTGAAGGCAAATGGTGTTCTTTTGCGAAAAGAAAGCAAAAAGCAAATATTTCCTTCTCCATGGAAAAAAACATTTCCTCCCCAGGGAAACTGGTACTATACACTGTTTATAATAGCATGTTTCTTAAAAAATGGAGAATTAATTCACAAATGTCACAAGGTGCTGAAATTTTGGATCGTTGAATGAAAAATACCGCGGCCAACTGAACGGCATACAAGCCGCGCAAATCCACAAGCCGCGTCGACGAGGCGCGATGTAATTTATGGCGATCGGGAGAGGGAAAGCCAAATCCACATTCCAATTTCACAAACCATTTTGGGTTCGATCATGCTGGCAGGCACAAGAGCGGGACTTGCTGCCAACAAGAGCCTTTGGATTCATATTCTGGTCACTTCATAGAAGTCTATGCTTCCAAGAGCTCCTCATTTTTGGCAGCAGTGATAGTCCCACGTTTCTTATTCCTCCTCATTCCACTTCAGAAATTTAATTACAGAAGTGTGCGCAGACGAAAGGACGAAAAGTCGTTTGTGATTAAGGCCCGTGATTTAGCGCCTAGCGCAGTTTTGCAAACAGCCCCACATTTTGCTTAACCATATCAGAACTATGGCACTCCACTGTTCCGCTATCCTTCTCTTCCTGATGTTACCAGCGTTCGTACATGCTGCGCCATCAAGCGTACACAGTGACGTAGCAGCCACTCTAATCCGAGGCAACCAGAGGAGCTTGGCGGAGGTCGCCCCGTGCCGCGCGTCCACGTTGAGCGGGTACACGTCATCGATCGGATTTAACAGAATGGGGTAAGAATGGAAATAAAAGTCGTTTAACAGCCGTATTTTGCTTCAATAGCCTAAAATATTGGCGCGAAGAAGAGAGAAACAATGCGACGCCAGAGAACTAGAAGTAATGTACGAGGTGAGAGCTTACGCCTGCGAGGCGGGTGCGTCAGAAACTCACACTGTCTCTTGATATTTGTTTTCAGGTTCAACCTTCATTGGAAGGTGACAAGCCGTCAGAGCATCGATATTGCCGTCGAGGCCAAGACAGGCAGCGGTGTTGCGAGGGGCTGGTTCGCTATAGGCTGGTCCAAGTCCGGCTTAATGTACCCTGCGGATGCCGTAATTATGAATTTCGTATCCAGCGATAGCGACACTACACCGCCCGTGGGTACATTTTCCTTGTCGAAGCGCGATGATTCGGGCGTGAAGCCAACATCGAGGTTCGCTATATCGAACACGGAATTCACAAGCAACACCAGCGCCGGCGTTCTCGTCAGGTGGGCTTAGCTGCTAATGCCAGTATCCGTCCATTCATCGATTTACGCCGGACGTTCCATCACACTAATAAAGCCCCGCTTACATAGTTGCGAATTGCGAGCCAAGTCTTCTTGTTTCCCATATGGCCCTGCCGTCGGATCAGGTTCACTCGGAGCAAGTTCGACGGAATCGTGCCCGTCAATTACAACGGCCCGAACCAGATCATCTTTGCGTACGCGCCCAAGGGAAGCCAGGAGGTCAAGGGCCACGCCGGCAAGAGGTAAGAACTCGCCCTCGCGTCGATTCGAAAGCCGGCAAGAAGTAATACGTTCTCGCATCTACTTTCAATCCAGTTCAAAAATCGGCAAGAACTTCTGAGCTCTGGCGTCGTACCACCCATTTACACCGTTCGCCCCGCCCCTGTATCCCCATCCCCACCACCAACATTCCGTCGTGGCATTATCGCATCTCGCCTTTCATACTTCCAAAATCTTCCATTATCGCATCTCGCCGTTCTCGCATCTCTCCGTTTTTCTGCCTTCTCCCCTTACTCCGCCCCCTCCCCCTTTTCCACCATTCCCCCTCCGCCACCTCTTCCTACCCCAGGGGATGGGTCCTTGTTGACTTTTCCTGCAAGCCCGGCTCCGCTTCCGCTTCTGATTCCGCCGCGCCCGCCTCCCCCTCCAAAGCGCCCTCCGCCACTACAATTCCTTCCCCCGCCAAGTCCCCCTCCCCCCCAAAATCCAAGTCTCCCGCCAAATCCAAATCTCCCCCCAAATCTCCCCCTAAGTCTCCGAAATCCCCCCCGAAGTCCCCCAAGCCATCCCCGCCCCCGCCCTCGCCCTCGCCCCCGCCTCCGTCTGATGTGATGAACCCAGTGAGCACCCCCTGTAAAAGCACCTCCGGTAGTAGCAGCAGCTCCTGCAAGGCATCGACTCTGGCAGGCTACACTTCTTATGTCGACTTAACTGGCAAAGGGTAAGCTTATAAGTGACAATTCCTCCATTCATCACTACAGTCGATATACCGAAGCCACAATAGCTAAATTCTTCCTCACCCCTTGTCTTTCCATGTGCACTTCTACCCTGTCCCCTTTAAAGACTGCTTCTTCACTGGAAGGTGACCTCTGATACGAGTGTAGCTTTGGCGGTAGAGGCGAAAACCGGCAGCGGGGCGGAGCAGGGGTGGTTTGGCGTGGGATGGTCTGGCTCCAGCTCTATGGTTCCTTCTGATGCCGTTCTTGGGAACGTGAAGGGCCTGTTGCCTGTAGCGAGCTACGCTGTATCGGGGTACAGTGCGAGCAAGATCTCAGTCACTTCACGGTTCGCCATTGGGCAGCCAGAGCTGCTAACGTCAACCAGTGGCGTCGTTATGAAGTACGTTAGTATGAGGGTGGGGTGTGAGGATAACGAATGCGCGTGTGAGTTTGTGAGTATTGAGAATGTGATCATGATGGGGGAATGTGCTCCGCGGTCTTCCATTCCAACCTCCTGTTTCTAGTACCCAGGAGGTGTCTTCCTCACATAACCATCTTCTTTTTTTGCCTCTGCAGGTTTGGTCGTAGCAAGGCTGATGGGGAAGGCATAGCGACGGTGGTGTACAAGGGAAAGAACAAGATCATTTGGGCGTATTCGGGCAGCGGATCGCGCACCATTGACGACCACAAGGATAACTAGTAAGTCGCGACAAACCTACTAAACTGCATTTCACATTCTCCTCAACAGCCTCGCATGTCTGCTTCAGCTGTCAAGAAATTGGGGGACATGAGAGGTAGCGCCTTTGGTTTCTTCGTTGTCTGATAATATATCTCCCTCCCTCTCTCTTTCTCTCTCCTACCATGTGCAGTGGCGCCACAACTGTGGATTTCTCCTGCAAGCCTGCACCAACCAAGTGCTGAAACCCCTCCTCTTCTCCCCAACGTGCAAGTAACTCCCCCCCCCCCCCCCCCCCCCCCACCTCTTCCTTTTAGCCCATGGTTACTTAGAAATGGTCATTTGTGTAGCTCAAAAGGGATAGGCTTGGAGATGCACTTGGTGCCATTTACGGCACCTAATAAAGCGTTGTAAACTCCTCCAATAATCAACATCAAAACAATAAGCTTGTGGTAACAATGAACCATGTTCCGGACATGCATGTCCCCAAGGCTAAGTTCTTCCTGGTGTTCATCCCGTTTAAGACTACATTCGTGCTGTAGTGTTCAGATTATTAGAGGACCTATGTGTTTTGAGACGTCTCAAAACACTTCTTCAATCACGTGGCTATTCTTCTGGTTCCTGTGGATTTTTGTTGGCGTGGAAATTACCTTCCCGCTTACGTCGAAGATTGATACAATCTAGGATGCGACCTGTTGCAGCGAACCCTTCGCGCGACACAATTGGTTACCCCACTTCTTCGACCCCGGTTTCCAACCACCCCGAGGATTCCAATCTTGGTTCCTAGGGATTGGGCTGAAGCTGTCTGCTCCCCTCGACGCCTCTCTTCACATTCGCCTATCATTTCCGTCATGTCCTGGTTAGCCTAGCTTGATCGTAGAGTACTTTAGCCAGGTTGCTTCATTTCTGAGCTTAAGTTTCAGGCTTGTACTGATGAAGGCTTGCAAAAGCCGAAACTAGTTTGCAATGTCCCTGATCCTTTAGTGAAGATTTGTTTTAAACTGGCTCTCTCAACAACGTTCTAAGCTAAGCACACACCAGGCTCCTTCCGCCATTTCTCATGGAGTTTGTTTCGTTGTCCTAAAACAACACGAGTTGATGGAAGGCCTCCGCAGCCCACCTGTCCTCTTTTGACAGCTTATGTACACTGAACAAACTGCATGTTACACGGACCGCATTGTAGCCTACTTCACAGCCCTAAGCGGCTATCGCGTGCACGCACATGCCTTATTAGTCGATCAAAGTAACTGGTATCTTCATGCCTTCACGCACTCGTGCGGCTTTCCCTGCACCGGTTTGTACCCACTTGCACACCTGCATTTGAACTGCCCCTTTCCTGCTGGAACGCACACACCATGTCCCGAGCACGGCCCATTCGTCGCACTCGTCCCGCAAAACCTACTGCATGCTGCCGCGGTCCGCTGCTGCTTCATGTTACACGTGGCGCTCTTTCCGAGGCAGTTCAGAGCCGCGAGATATTCGTCATCGCCTGAGTCGGGATCTTCTTGCCCCTCCTCCGGACAGACCTTCCCATTGGACATAATGAACTCCGGGCTGCCCCAGAAATAATTTCCGCGCACATCAACCGGCGGCTCCTCCTCTCCTCCCATGAACCCTAGATTCGACATGGGCCCCGAGAAGAAATTGAAAGAGATGTTGAAACTTGCCACGTGGACCTTCTGAAACGTGTCTGCGGGAATCGCGCCGACTAACGCGTTGCGCTGCAGGTACAGGTGTTCGATAACTGGGGTGGTTTTCAAGTTCGCCCAGGGAAACTCCCCTCCTAGCCTGTTAAACGACAGGTCCAAGGTATGCAGGTTTGGCATGTCTTTCAGCAGAGCCTCAGGGACTGTACCTTTGAACCTATTTCCAGCCAATCGCAGACTAGCCAGCTTTTTCATCTGCCCGAACTTGGACGGAATCCTGCCCGAAAGAAGATTCCCACTAAGGTTTATGTCTGCCAGAGCCGGATGGGTAGCAAGGGCGCCGATAGACGAACCAGTGAAGCGATTGTTACTAAAATCCACCTCCTCGAGGCTCTTTACAGCGAGTATAACGGGCACGGGGAGTTCACCAGAAAGCTTGTTATTTCCGAGAATCAGCCGCTTCAGGCCCTTGATTTTTGCGAGGGTCGGCGGAATCGATCCGGTCAACCGATTTCCGCTCAAGTCAAGCACGCTGAGCGCGGCCATGCTGGATAATTCCGGGGGGGTTCCGCCTTCGAGACCGTTCCATTGCAGGTCGAGGTACTGGAGGCGGTTCAGCCGCGCAAGCCCCCGCGGGATGCTCCCCGCGAGGAAGGTTCCGCGGAGCCCGAGGTACGTGAGCTGCGCGAGTTTCCCGAGAAAATCCGGAAGGCCGCCAGAGAGGCTTCCATGGATATTGTCGCGAATGCTGAGTGATTCGAGCTTCTGGAGTTTCGCAAGGCTTTTGGGTAAGCTTCCGCCGATGCGCCAATTATTGGAAAAGTCGAGCAGCGTCACCTCCGTCAGATTTCCGACGGATTCCGTCAGCGCGCCGGTGCACGTGTAATCGCTAATGTAGACCTGGGTGACCATCCCGCCGTCGTTGCAAACGACGCCGGACCATTTCGAACAGTCAAAGCCGGCGACCCATGTGTTAGTTACAGTGCAGTTTCCCCACGCGGTTTTCAGTGAGAGTAGCGCCTTCTCTTGCGAGGGGAGCAGTGGGACGGCGCTGGACGGGGAGATTGCGGCGAAGGCGACGAGTGAGACGAGGAAGACGAGCGAGAGGGGTGTCATTGTCGCGGCTAAACGAGAGCAAACGAGATCATAAAATCGAGGGAAACTAGTGAGAGTCGTTTGCTGAATCCTGCATCAGGCACTGCAGTGTGAGACTAGCTGTTGTTGCCGGAAAAGCGTGTCAGGAGAACAATCCATCTATCCCTGCTGAGGAACGATCAAGCCCAGCTTGCTTTATGTGCACGCCCCGGTGCTTGCGGAGCTGGCAATAATGACCTGCAGGGAAAGTAGGACCTACGGGTCGCATTTCAAGTGCTGTCTAGTTTGCAAAAGGCCCATTCCAGAAAAGTGACAGCGACACTTCCTGGCTAAGCAAATGCCATTCTCTGTGTTGTTCAAGTTTGGATGAAGCTGCTCCTGAACCCTGAAAACATTTTTAGGGCGGATTAGCACTGGTTCAGTTCTGTTAGAGCAGTGCGGTTAAGTACGATAGTATGCAATCAAGAGCAATATCTGTTATTCACCGCCTTGAACCTGACTCACCATCCTGAACCAGCTCAACTGCAACCGGACAAACTGGTTCCTCAATGCCGTTTTTCTCTATTGGAACGAGAGTCAGGCTCAAAACCCTCCAGAAGCAAATTTTCGGAGGAAATGACGGAGCGCCGTGTTTTCTAGTTTCCAATTCCAATCGGCAGTGGTTTTGACAGCACATCGCTCCGCGCTCGCGTCCAATACCTTGGGGCATATTATTTCTCCGTTTCCATTTTGAGTCCACAAATACAGATTGTTTCTATGTTACGGGAAATTCCAAATTTCTTCGTCGAGTCCATAGCAGATGCGCAGCTCGGGACAAAAAAAAAATAAAACCCTCATGGATGGTATGCCACGTAAAAGGGCATAAACCCTAAACACCGTGAGGCAAGGTGTTTAGGGCTGATGCCTCCCAAATGGCTTGTCATCCGAGCGGGTTTTAGTTTTGCCACTGGCCTCTAAACTGAAACCAGGTCACTTAGTATTTTCCCTTCTATACGTCTGGTCACGAAAAATGGGAAATTGCAATAAAATCTGCCCGCGGGAATTCGGTGTGAGCGTGAAGGAAGTCGCTGTCAAAGCCACTTCTAAAAGGAATCGAAAACGCGCAAACACGGCGGTTCGTCATTTCCTCATTTTTTTCGGGCGCGATTGCAAAATCACAACCGGCGGAAATTGTGAAATTGCGATTCGTGTCGCGAGTACGACTTGCTGAGGTAGCAAATGGATTGACATGGGGAGCCGAAACCGTGGCCAGCGAGTGTCCGCCGCCACGTCTACTGCATTCTCCCCATTCGTTGCTTGAACACCGAGATGTCCCCATTCTCCCCAGGCGACAGCGCGGCTGCCTCAGCTGACGTCAGCTTGAAACCGAACCGCTAGCAGCTTGGGGGGTCAGCACGTCAGCGACACAGCCGGTGCAATATTTGAGATAACCAGGTAAGAGTACACTGAACGACACGGTAAGAATCACTAAAGAATGGCCAATCATCCGTACCCATAACAAAATTACTTTACCAGTAACAGCCATCCTGAGGAGGTAAGCCAGCTGATACGAGTGCAATTGAGCGAGTGAGCGAGAATTGCACTATTGAAGCAAACAATACAATTAGCGAAGGCATGAGCGAAGAATATATTGCGAAGCTAGTGTGGTAACGGTAACGTGAGAAAATGGGGTGCGCTACAGGCCTAGCGCCGAGGTTGGGAAATGTCGAGGTCCGGAGCGCGGGTTACCAACCGAACCGTGAGGTTGGGTCACATCGTGAACAGTGGCGGGAGTCGTGGTCGAGGCGAGTGTCGTGAGCGGGTAACGTTTCACTATTGGGTGCTGATGGCGGGAATGGTCTTGTACGCGGTAAGCAGGGGCGCGAAGTAAGGGAAAGGAATTTTCCTTACACTAACCCCCCCCCCCCCCCCCCCCCCCCCCCCCCCCCCCCCCCCCCCCCCCCCCCCCCCCCCCCCCCCCCCCCCAAAGGAGGCCCTCCTTACGAGAGCGCGTGGTAGACACACCGAGTCAGGGGTGCCAGAATCGAAATTGCAGGATCGGGTAGGTAGGGCACCAAGCAAAATACACCACCAGATGTGTTGCGAATTCATCACGGGGAAGCGCTGGGGGTCGCCCAGCAATGTCTGGACGACGTTTTGGGTGTGCGACCATGGGCGACACGGATCGGTCGTGGCTGTCACCTGTGGCGCGATTGGCTCTCCCGCCACCCCAAACGCATAATAAGAACCCCTGGTTTATGGGCAAGTGAACAGCAACTTGGCCTGAAATAGTGACAAACTTCCAGCATCTGTAGAAGAACGACAGTAAAAGCCCTTCGGCGGGGTGAATCCGAACATGGAGAATTGCCGCAAAACAAAATTGCACAATAAACGAGAGTTCGTATTAGGTGGAACCACTAGGGAGGAAGCCAGCATCGTGGGAGGGTCGAAGTTGTACACCGATTCTCCCACATCGGTCTGCACACCGGTGTGCACACACTGCAAATTTGCAGTGTGGTAAACACACCTAGCCAGGGGTCCTAAGATCGAAATTGTAGGATCGGGTAGGTAGGGCACCCAGCGGAATACACCACCAGATGTGTCGCGAATTAATTACGGGGAAGCGCTGGGGGTCGCCCAGCAATGTCTGGACGACGTTTTTGGCGTGCGACCATGGGCGACACGGATCGATCGTGGCTGTCATCTGTGGCGCGATCGGCTCTCCCGCCACCCCAAACGCACAATGAATGTGTGCTCGGTGGCACATCGATCGTGCCAGCCAAAGGTGCCACCATTTTATTGTACAAGTTACTGTACACTTGCGAGGTGTGGCGAAACCGGATACCAGCTTGTTGGCGAGGACGCGGCGCCTCTAGGGAGGAAGCCAGGATCGATCCCGAGCTTGGAATCGATCCTGGTTTGTACAGTGAAATCGCGACATCGCCAACAGGCTGGTATCCAATTTCGCCCAACTTCGCAAGTGTACAGTAAATTGGTGCCCAAAATGGTGCCACCTCTGGCTCGCATGATCGATGTGCTAGCGCCCACATCGATCGTGTAATTGTGGAGATCGAGCAATTTTGCCCATATATTTTAGATCTTGTCACCTGTGGCTTGGTGTGTCCAGGCGATTGCAAATCTGCAGTGTGGACTGTTAGAATACTAGCTAGACTTAGGAGCCATGGCTAGTGAGTGTCGAGAGAATTGAGTGTCGAGAGAATTGAGTGTCGAGAGAATTGGAAAGGAGAATGGGGTTTCACTAGCAAGAGTTGGGATACAAGTACAACACCCTAAATTGGGTTGTACTCATTACAGAGTACCCCACTGCAGGCTAGACAGCAAATACATTCTGACACACCCCCATAGTCAAAGTGGGGTATAATCAGCAGAGCAAGCAGTCATAGAGCAGGTTCACAAGTACAAGCAAAGCTAGAGGCATACACAAAAGGCAAGTGAGGAGGAGGCTGGACTGTGAGAGGAGAGGAGATAGGAGGCGACGGCTGATGCTGCAGACACACGGGCAACAGGAGCGGCGCGCACTGTGGCTACCGGAGCCGTATCCCCGGACTACAGGAGTAACTGGCTCTGCGGCTAACTCTGAGCGGCAGGAGCAACGGACCCACAGGCGACAGGTGCAGCAGGCTCGCTGGGCTACCGGAGATTGTAGCCTCCGGACTACTGGCGCTGCTGGCGACACAACGGCTACCTCCGCTCAACCTCCCCCAACTGTCCCACCCCCCTTTCACACACCCCTTGCTGCACCCCTAGCTCCACTCCCACGTCACCCCCCTAGCACCACTCCCTAGGCTCCCACACACCCACCCCCCTCAGCGGCAGCTGCAGCAGTGGGAGACGGAGGAGGAGGAGGAGCAGGGGACGGTTCACACACCCGCCACCCCCATACCCGCCACCCCGCAGTTGCACCCACACCCGCTACCCCCATACCCTCCCCCACTGCTGCACCTGCAGCAGGGGATGGAGGAGAAGGGGGAGGGGGGTGGGAGGGCGGGGGGGGGGCTGGTGCTGCAGATCCCCTCCCCCCCAGTGCTGCACCCGCAGCAGGGGGAGGTAGGAGAAGGGAGGGGGGGGGGGGCGGAGGGGGGGTGGGGCGGGGGGGGGGGGCTGGTGCTGCAGATCCCCTCCCCCCCACTGCTGCACCCGCAGCAGGGGGAGGTAGGAGAAGGGGCGGTGCAGGAGCCGCTCTGGCGACAGCAGGTTGGCCACACCCGCCACCCCCATACCCTCCCCCACTGCTGCACCTGCAGCAGAGAGACGGAGGAGAAGGGGGGGGGGGGGGGGGGGGCTGGAGCTGCAGATCCCCTCCCCCCCACCGCCACACCCGCAGCAGGGGGAGGTAGGAGAAGGGTGGGGGACCTGGTGCTGCAGATCCCCTCCTGCCTCCCCCTGAACCTCCAAGCTTCCCCCCCCTCTCTCCCCGCCATCCTCATGGAGGGGGGGGAGGGGTGGGGGGGGGGGTCGGTGCTGCAGATCCCCTTCCCCCCCTCTGCTGCACCCGCAGCAGGGGGAGGTAGGAGAAGGGTGGGGGACCTGGTGCTGCAGATCCCCTCCTGCCTCCCCCTGAACCTCCAAGCTTCCCCCCCCTCTCTTCCCGCCATCCTCATGGAGGGGGGGGAGGGGTGGGGGGGGGGTTCGGTGCTGCAGATCCCCTTCCCCCCCTCTGCTGCACCCGCAGCAGGGGGAGGTAGGAGAAGGGTGGGGGACCTGGTGCTGCAGATCCCCTCCTGCCTCCCCCTGAACCTCCAAGCTTCCCCCCCCCTCTCCCCGCCATCCCCATGGAGGGGGGGGAGGGGGGGGAGGGGGGCGGGGGCGGAGCTGCGCGTGCGACTGTAGGGCACGCGGGCAGGAGGAACCCCCTCTTGCCACCCCCTCACCCACCACGTTGCAATTGGGCACCGGGACCGCAGTTAGGGGCGGCAGGTCGCGAGGGCCCATGGCTAGGGGCGACAGGGCCATGGCTAGGGGCGACGGGGCCATGGCTAGGGACGGGGGGCCGGGCGCCGGGTTTTGAGGTGGGGCCGAGGGGCCTAGGGGCCGCGGGGCCAAACAAGGGGCCGGGGGGGGCCTAGGGGGGGCCGAGGGGCCTAGGGGGCCGAGGGGCCAAACAAGGGGCCGGGGGGGCCGGGCGCCGGGCTTTGAGGTGGGGCCGAGGGGCCTAGGGGCCGCGAGGCCAAACAAGGGGCCAAGGGGGGGCCTAGGGGAGCCGAGGGGCCTAGGGGGCCGAGGGGCCAAACAAGGGGCCGGGGGGCCGGGCTCCGGGCTTTGAGGTGGGGCCGAGGGGCCTAGGGGCCGCGGGGCCAAACAAGGGGCCGAGGGGGCCTAGGGGGGGCCGAGGGGCCTAGGGGGCTGAGGGGCCAAACAAGGGGCCGGGGGGCCGGGCTCCGGGCTTTGAGGTGGGGCTGAGGGGCCTAGGGGCCGCGGGGCCAAACAAGGGGCCGGGGGGGGCCTAGGGGGGGCCGAGGGGCCTAGGGGGCCGAGGGGCCAAACAAGGGGCCGGGGGGGGGCGGGCGCCGGGCTTTGAGGTGGGACCGAGGGGCCTAGGGGCCGCGGGGCCAAACAAGGGGCCAAGGGGGCCTAGGGGAGCCGAGGGGCCTAGGGGGCCGAGGGGCCAAACAAGGGGCCGGGGGGCCAGGCTCCGGGCTTTGAGATGGGGCCTAGGGGCCGCGGGGCCAAACAAGGGGCCGAGGGGGCCTAGGGGGGCCGAGGGGCCTAGGGGGCCGAGGGGACAAACAAGGGGCCGGGGGGCCGGGCTCCGGGCTTTGAGGTGGGGCCGAGGGGCAGGTACGGGGCCGGGTGCTAGGCAGGTACGGGCCAGGCGCTGGGCAGGTACAGGGCCTGGCGCTGGGCAGGTACGGGGCCGGGCGCTGGGCAGGTACGGGGCCGGGCGCTGGGCAGGTACGGGGCCTGGCGCTGGGCAGGTACGGGGCCGGGCGCTGGGCAGGTACGGGGCCGGGCGCTGGGCAGGTACGGGGCCTGGCGCTGGGCATGTACGGGGCCGGGCGCTGGGCAGGTACGGGGCCAGGCGCTGGGCAGGGACTGGGCCGGGCGCTGGGCAGGTGCGGGGCCGGGCGCTGGGCAGGTACGGGGCCGGGCGCTAGGCAGGTATGGGGCCAAGCGCTGGGCAGGTACGGGGCCGGGCGCTGGGCAGGTACGGGGCCTGGCGCTGGGCAGGTACGGGGCCGGGGCGCGGGCTAAGTACGGGGCCGGGCGCGGGCGTTATACGGGCCGGGCGCGGGCTAGGTACGGGGCCAGGTGCTGGCGAAGGGTCTGGGCCGGGCGCTGGGCAGGTGCGGGGCCGGGCGTTGGGCAGGTACGGGGCCGGGCGCTGGGCAGGTACGGGGCCAGGCGCTGGGCAGGTACGGGGCCGGGCGCTGGGCAGGTACGGGGCCGCGCGCTGGGCAGGTACGGGGCCGGGGCGCGGGCTAAGTATGGGGCCAGGCGCGGGCGTTATACGGGCCGGGCGCGGGCTAGGTACGGGGCCAGGCGCTGGCGACAGACGGGGCCGGGCGCTGGCTAGGGTCGGGGCCGTGCGTTGGGCTAGGTACGGGCCGGGCGCGGGGCTAGGAAAGGGGCCGAGCGCGGGCTAAGTACGGGCCGGGCGCGGGGCGACGGAGTCGACGGGGCCAAGGGGCCGAGGCGACGGGGCCAAGTGGACGAGCCTAGGGGCTAGGGGCGACGCCAAGGGGCGACGGGCTGGGGCCTAGGCTAGCAGGGCAGTAGGTGGTGGGCCCATTAACATTAGGTCCTAGGAAAGTTATGCTCTTAATACCATGTTAGAATACTAGCTCGACTTAGGAGCCATGGCTAGTGAGTGTCGAGAGAATTGAGTGTCGAGAGAATTGAGTGTCGAGAGAATTGGAAAGGAGAATACAGTTTCACTAGCAAGAGTTGGGATACAAGTACAACACCCTAAATTGGGTTGTACTCATTACAGAGTACCCCACTGCAGGCTAGACAGCAAATACATTCTGACATGGACACATCGGTGTGCCGATCGATGGTTGTCAGAATACTGAACGAAAATGAATGCATTGAACAGAAAGTTGGTACAAGTACTAACCCTAATTAGGTTGTACCCCTTATGGGCTACCCCACTATAGCCTACACAATGTAAGCATTATAACATTTTGACACACCCCCATACGCAAAGTGGGGGAGAACAAGTGATCACAAGACCAATCAAGAAAAGCAAAGCAAGCTCAGGGTGGATCACGAAGTCACCACACATTCCGAGCACAAGCAAATGGCCACAAGGCCAGTTCACATGCTGATATAAAAGAGAACAAACAGTATACTGAGCATACCCTAGCAAGTGTAAGCATGCAGGTATATATACAGATCACAGTACTGAGCAAGTGAGGCAAAGTAGGCACAAGGCCTAAAACAATACAAAAACGCTGATGATCACTAGACTAAAGTGCCTTGGTGAATATATCAGCAGTGTTGGCCCGAGTGGCCATGTAAGCAAGAAGAAGCTGACCACGCTGCTGCAAGTCTCGAGCAAGGAATTAATGCAGAGCGATGCGCTTCGTTCTGTGCTCCAGTATGTGCTCCTAACACAAGGCAATCATGGCCTTGTTGTCTACGTACATAACTGGAGAAGAACAAGGCCGCTCTCCCAAGTCGGTCAGCAGGTAGGTGAGCCAGCGTAGTTCCTGTGCAGCCATGGCCCCTGCGTAGATCTCAACCTCACAGCTGGAACTGAGAACAGACGACGAGCGGGTAGACCGCCAAGAAATAGAGCCGGAGCCAAGGCTGAAATTGTAACCCTATGACGACCGCTGCGTAGCCATGTCGTCAACCCAAGAAGCGTCTGCGTGTTTAGTGAGGACAACTGGACCCCGTCCTCCAAGCACGAGCCCCATGCCCGATGTACTGCACAAGTACCGCAACACTCTCTCAGCGGCCTCCCGGTGCTCTGGTCGGTGTCTCCCGGGTGCAACGTAGCGTGCCAGGATGCTAAAAGGGTAGGCAAGGTCAGGTCGAGTGCAGGTCATTAGGTTCATGAGGCAGCCCACAAGCTCTGGATATGGGCCACTCAGCTCTACGGACTCGTCCGAAGGTGGAGTTGAGAGCGAGTGACCGGTAGGCAGAGGAGTGGAATGTGGCGAGGAGTACCGGAAGCCGAAGCGCTGAAGGACCTGGTGCACCATGTGTGACTGAGTCAGGGTGATGGTGCGTAGAGACGACGGCTGCGGCGGAACGAAAAACGGGCGCCGCTACACAGTGCCTCCAGCACCAGGACTGCCAGCTCCAGCAACCCCAGCGCCAGCACCTCCAGCTCCAGGGTCTCCAGCTCCAGCGCCTCCAGCTCCAGCGCCTCCAGCGCCAGTGCCTCCAGCTCCAACGCCTCCAACTCCAGCGCCTCCAGCTCCAGTTCCTTCAGCGCCAGCGCCTCCAGCGCCAGTGCCTCCAGCTCCAGGGTCTCCAGCTCCAGCTCCTCCTGCTCCAGGGTCTCCAGCTCCAGCGCCTCCAACACCACCAGCTCCGGCAGCTCCAGTACCCCTAGTACGAGCACCTCCTGGACCAGCAGCTCCAGCACCTCCGGTACCTCCAGCTTCAGCAGTAACTCTAGCACCTCCGGGATTAGAAGCCCCAGCACCTCCAGCGCCAGTGCCTCCAGCTCCAGGGTCTCCAGATCCAGTGCCTCCAGCGCCACGCTGTCCAGCTCCAGCGCTTCCAACACCACCAGCTCAAGCAGCTCCAGTACTACTAGTACAAGCACCTCCAGCACCAGCAGCTCCAGCACCTCCAGCTCCTGTGCCTCCAGCGGCAGAGCCTCCAGCTCCTGCAGTGCCACTGCTCACGCATGTGCGCTGAGAAAACCACTCGCGCAGCTGCTGCGGTTAGAGAGGCTCGGGCCGGTGAGACAATCATGGCGAGGCACCCGCAGGACCTCCGGCAAACGCAGTACCCCTAGGCTCAGCACCCCCAGGCTCCGCACCCTCAGAATCAGCACCCTTAAGCTCCGCACAATCAGGCTCAGCACCACAAGGCTCTGCACTCGCAGGCTCAGCACACCCAGACGCAGCACCCCCAGATGCAGCACCTGTAGCAGCACCTGAGTCTACAGCGACCTCGACAGGCACAGCCAGGGGGAGTGGGTCTACCTGAGACACACCTGAGGGAGCAGGACCCTGAGGGGGGAGGGGGTCTACCGGAGGGGGACCTGGAGCGAGGAAGAGCGGCAAGGGGGGGAGAGGGGCAGTGCGGTAGGGGAAGAGACGGTAAAAGGAAACCGACTCGTCAAACGTGACGTCCTGAGAGGGGAGGACACGGCGCAAGGTGGGGTGGTAAAACTGCCAGCCAGGCACGTCAGGGGGAAAGCCAAGGAAGACGCAGGGAATAGCGCAGGAGGAGAGCTTTTTCGCGGAAGAATCGCGAACAAAGGCACGAGAGCCCCAGACCCGGAACACCAACGCATCACCACCAGATGTGTTGCGAATTCATCACGGGGAAGCGCTGGGGGTCGCCCAGCAATGTATGGACGACGTTTTGGGCGTGCGACCATGGGCGACACTAATCGGTCGTGGCTGTCACATGTGACGCGATCGGCTCTCCCGCCACCCCAAACGCACAATCAAGAACCCCTGGTTTATGGGCAAGTGAACAGCGACTTGGCCTGAAATAGTGACAAACTTCCAGCACCTGTAGAAGAACGACAGTAAAAGCCCTTCGGCGGGGTGAATCCGAACATGGAGAATTGCCGCAAAACAAAATTGCACAGTAAATGAGAGTTCGTATTAGGACGTGGCACCACTAGGGAGGAAGCCAGCATTGTGGGAGGGTCAAAGTTGTACACCGATTCTCCCACATCGATCTGCACACCGGTGTGCACACATTGCAAATTTGCAGTGTGGTAGACACACCTAGCCAGGGGTCCCAAGATCGAAATTGTAGGATCGGGTAGGTAGGGCACCCAGCGGAATACACCACCAGATGTGTCGCGAATTAATTACGGGGAAGCGCTGGGGGTCGCCCAGCAATGTCTGGACGACGTTTTGGGCGTGCGACCATGGGCGACACGGATCGATCGTGGCTGTCACCTGTGGCGCGATCGGCTCTCCCGCCACCCCAAACGCATAATCAAGAACCCCTGGTTTATGGGCAAGTGAACAGCGACTTGGCCTGAAATAGTGACAAACTTCCAGCACCTGTAGAAGAACGACAGTAAAAGCCCTTCGGCGGGGTGAATTCGAACATGGAGAATTGCCGCAAAACAAAATTGCACAGTAAATGAGAGTTCGTATTAGGACGTGGCACCACTAGGGAGGAAGCTGTCAGAATCCCAACCACTAGACCATTGGGATAAAAGGGCTTGTTAAGTAGCGGGTCAGTGCGCCCATAACCCCCCAGGACAACGGGCCTGTAACCCTTCCCTAAGATCAATCGGGGATCACCAGTGGACCTCTGACAGAAGCCAGCATCGTGGGAGGGTCAAAGTTGTACACCGATTCTCCCGCCACCCCAAACGCACAATCAAGAACCCCTGGTTTTGGGCAAGTGAACAGCGACTTGGCCTGAAATAGTGACAAACTTCCAGCACCTGTAGAAGAACGACAGTAAAAGCCCTTCGGCGGGGTGAATCCGAACATGGAGAATTGCCGCAAAACAAAATTGCACAGTAAATGAGAGTTCGTATTAGGACGTGGCACCACTAGGGAGGAAGCCAGCATTGTGGGAGGGTCAAAGTTGTACACCGATTCTCCCACATCGATCTGCACACCGGTGTGCACACATTGCAAATTTGCAGTGTGGTAGACACACCTAGCCAGGGGTCCCAAGATCGAAATTGTAGGATCGGGTAGGTAGGGCACCCAGCGGAATACACCACCAGATGTGTCGCGAATTAATTACGGGGAAGCGCTGGGGGTCGCCCAGCAATGTCTGGACGACGTTTTGGGCGTGCGAACATGGGCGACACGGATCGATCGTGGCTGTCACCTGTGGCGCGATCGGCTCTCCCGCCACCCCAAACGCATAATCAAGAACCCCTGGTTTATGGGCAAGTGAACAGCGACTTGGCCTGAAATAGTGACAAACTTCCAGCATCTGTAGAAGAACGACAGTAAAAGCCCTCGGCGGGGTGAATCCGAACATGGAGAATTGCTGCAAAACAAAATTGCACAGTAAATGAGAGTTCGTATTAGGACGCGGCACCACTAGGGAGGAAGCCAGCATCGTGGGAGGGTCGAAGCTGTACACCGATTCTCCCACATCGATCTGCATAGCGGTGTGCACACACTGCAAATTTGCAGTGTGGTAGACTCACCGAGTCAGGGGTGCCAGAATCGAAATTGCAGGATCGGGTAGGTAGGGCACCAAGCGGAATACACCACCAGATGTGTTGCGAATTCATCACGGGGAAGCGCTGGGGGTCGCCCAGCAATGTATGGACGACGTTTTGGGTGTGCGACCATGGGCGACACGGATCGGTCGTGGCTGTCACATGTGACGCGATCGGCTCTCCCGCCACCCCAAACGCACAATCAAGAACCCCTGGTTTATGGGCAAGTGAACAGCGACTTGGCCTGAAATAGTGACAAACTTCCAGCACCTGTAGAAGAACGACAGTAAAAGCCCTTCGGCGGGGTGAATCCGAACATGGAGAATTGCCGCAAAACAAAATTGCACAGTAAATGAGAGTTCGTATTAGGACGTGGCACCACTAGGGAGGAAGCTGTCAGAATCCCAACCACTAGACCATTGGGATAAAAGGGCTTGTTAAGTAGCGGGTCAGTGCGCCCATAACCCCCCAGGACAACGAGCCTGTAACCCTTCCCTAGGATCAACCGGGGATCACCAGTGGACCTCTGACAGAAGCCAGCATCGTGGGAGGGTCAAAGTTGTACACCGATTCTCCCACATCGATCTGCACACTGGTGTGCACACACTGCAAATTTGCAGTGTGGTAGACACACCTAGCTAGGGGTCCCAAGATCGAAATTGTAGGATCGGGTAGGTAGGGCACCCAGCGGAATACACCACCAAATGTGTCACGAATTAATCACGGGGAAGCGCTGGGGGTCGCTCAGCAATGTCTGGACGACGTTTTGGGCGTGCGACCATGGGCGACACGGATCGATCGTGGCTGTCACCTGTGGCGCGATCGGCTCTCCCGCTACCCCAAACTTACAATCAAGAACCCCTGGTTTATGGGCAAGTGAACAGCGACTTGGCCTGAAATAGTGACAAACTTCCAGCATCTGTAGAAGAACGACAGTAAAAGCCCTTCGGCGGGGTGAATTTGAACATGGAGAATTGCCGCAAAACAAAATTGCACAATAAACGAGAGTTCGTATTAGGAGGTGGCACCACTAGGGAGGAAGCCATCATCGTGGGAGGGTCGAAGTTGTACACCGATTCTCCCACATCGATCTGCACACCGGTATGCACACACTGCAAATTTGCAGTGTGGTAAACACACCTAGCCAGGGGTCCCAAGATCGAAATTGTAGGATCGGGTAGGTAGGGCACCCAGCGGAATACACCACCAGATGTGTCGCGAATTAATTACGGGGAAGCGCTGGGGGTCGCCCAGCAATGTCTGGACGACGTTTTTGGCGTGCGACCATGGGCGACACGGATCGATCGTGGCTGTCATCTGTGGCGCGATCGGCTCTCCCGCCACCCCAAACGTACAATGAATGTGTGCTCGGTGGCACATCGATCGTGCCAGCCAGAGGTGCCACCATTTCATTGTACAAGTTACTGTACACTTGCGAGGTGTGGCGAAACCGGATACCAGCTTGTTGGCGAGGACGCGGCGCCTCTAGGGAGGAAGCCAGGATCGATCCCGAGTTTGGAATCGATCCTGGTTTGTACAGTGAAATCGCGACATCGCCAACAGGCTGGTATCCAATTTCGCCCAACTTCGCAAGTGTACAGTAAATTGGTGCCCAAAATGGTGCCACCTCTGGCTCGCATGATCGATGTGCTAGCGCCCACATCGATCGTGTAATTGTGGAGATCGGGCAATTTTGCCCCATATATTTTAGATCTTGTCACCTGTGGCTTGGTGTGTCCAGGCGATTGCAAATCTGCAGTGTGGACACATTGGTGTGCCAATCGATGTGCCTAAACCTGTGTGAGACCCCGATCCCCCACGATCCTGACAATTTTCCTAGAGGTGTCGCGTCCTTAGTTCACGACAGTTTCGAGGCAGCAGGCAATGGAGGGTTTGGAATTGGGAGACTCAGCACATTCTGTTTAGGTCTGTGTGCGAATGACTCCGTGGTTCGTCGTTCAAGGACGACATGTCTTCTCCTGAAATTCCGCCGCCAACTGCGGGTCTAGCAAACTCGAAGCGCATCAAGCAATGCCTTCTCTTCGCATCGCTTGTTCTCAACATGATCTTCGTCGCTGTATTTCTTCACTCCTCGTTTTCAAAACCTGACGTTCTAGATGTCGGAACAGAACGGACGGAAACGCAAACGCAAACGAAATCTGCGCTAGGCCAAGCTGAGGTTGCAGACGGCCCCCAACCTCCGCCGGAGCAGCAATCCGAACCAGAGAAGCCGTCCGAGCCTAAGCCAGAACGCGGGGAAACGGCGGTTTTGTCATCACCCACTTGCGATCTATCTGTTGGAAGGTGTATCAGGTGGCAACTGCACACATGCGATGCGACCTGCAAGGAATGTCAGGTGACAAATGCACACATGGTACCTGCATGGTATATCAGGCGAGCTACAAAGAGCCGATTTTTGTTCCATACTTATGTAGTGAAGAGCACCCTTGCTTCGTGTCATACCCAACCTTGTGACTACAGCTGGGCGCCAGGCCATTCCGCCAGCCGCAGTTCCGAACTGGGTTTAGGCGAGAGATGCAAGAGCCCGCATGTCACGGCAAGCTAGTCACCAAGCCAGCCATATCCCGTTGCCATGCAACAACAGCTGGACGCTCAACCCAGTCACGCCACCCGCAGTACACGGGAGAGAGAGCTGCAGAAGCGCAATCCTGTTTCACATTCTCGTATTGAAGAAGGCTTTTCGCTTTCTACCCTTGTGCATTCGCCCTACATTAACAGCAGGACCGCCAACCTATCACGCCGGCCGTAGAGAGCTGCACCCGTCACACCGGCCAGGAAAGATGCAGAACCTAACCCTGTCGGCCGCAGTACACAGGAGAGAGCTGCAGGAACCTAACCTGCTTTTATATCCACGTAGTCAAGAGAACCCCATTGCCCTTTCACCCTTCCCTCCAGCTGGGTTTCGCCCAGTGCTTTCGCCCGAAACCAACAGCTGGGTGGCAACCCTTCCCTCCAGCCGCAGTACACGGGGGAGAGCTGCAAGAGCCTGGGGCGGACGAACAACTGCCAGCGCCCAACCTGTGCCAAGCCACCAAGTCAAGCGCTCCCTTCCCCCTGCCCGCTACCAACATCTGGGTGGCCAACCCATCCCGCCAGCCACAGTACATGGGGGACAGCTGCAATAGCGTGATCCTGTTTCACACTCCTGTTTCCCTTGGCTCCCCACACCACCAGCTGGGTGGCCAACCCATCCCGCCAGCACAGTACACGGGGGTGAGCTGCAAGAGCCTGATCTGTTTTCACACTCCCGAGTCCCTTGCCTTCCCACACCAACAGCTGGGTGGCCAACCCTTCCCGCCAGGCCCAGTACACGGGGAAGAGCTGCAAGAGCCTGAGTCGGTCGTTCAACTGCCAGCGCAACGGGCGCACCAACATGCTGTACCTGCAGTACGAGTGGCGCAGCCCCGGCTGCCGCATTGAGAGGTATGTACGGCTCGTTGTAAGAGCCAGAGGCAAGTGTTTTGAAATGATGCACTGCAACATACTTGCGAGTGCAATGGGTGCTTGCGGTACCTGCAGTACGAGTGGAAGCAACTAGGAGCTAGGTAAGAAGTTCAGAGAAGAAGTTGTGTTAGCTCAAGAGAGCACAAGGGCTATGCAAGCAAAGCTTGACGCAGATTACCAAACCTACAACCCAGACAAAAAGAGCAACTAGGCTAGTTGGAGGAAAGGACAACCAACCCATGTGAGGTGGTGGCCAACCCACCAAACCTGGCTGCCCCATCACATGAGGTAATAATGAGTGGAAACCCCCCTTGACCAGCAAGGTTGGGGACCACTTTCTAGGCTAGGAGATTTGGGTTCACTCCTATTAGGGTGTTTACCCACTCTACACCCAAAACTAGAGCATGCATGTATAAGTATATTCTAAGAAAAATTACTCTAGATTCAGATTCAGGAAGATTCTATTACGTTCTGCATCTTCCGCATTGTCCCGTATCCAGGTTCGATGCTTCTGCTTTCCTGGAGCGCATGCGCAACAAGGTGTTTCTGGTCGTCGGGGATTCCGTCTCCATGAACTTCATCTCGGCCCTTCAGTGCCTCATCGAGACTGCCACTCCCACCAAGGTGTGTTACACTGTCCAGATTCAATTATACACCTGCCTCTCTGTCACGCTATTCAGTTTTTCATCACAATAAATATCTTCTCCGCTCGTCACTACCTCTTTGAACATGGTTCAAGTTGCGACCAGTTTTCGCAAAGCACATTTTACTGTCCAGGTTCAGTGCATGTGCTTTCTTCCCGTCAGTACACATCGGTTCTTCAATGCAACACGGTGTGCCTCGTGAATACTGTCACATGGCCCAGTCCAGCACTTGTCTAGGTAGGTAGACCCACCTGTTGGCACCTTACGGCTATTGTAGAGAATTATGCACCTGGTTCCTTCCTTGCCTCCTCTCCTCGAACCAATTTTCAACGCTACCTTGCCTCGACACTTCCCCTGCTTCCGCCTTCTTGCCCTCCCAACCCTTGTTGCCCTGATACCTTCACCCCTTGCCCTCCCAACCCCTGTTGCCCTGATACCTTCACCCCTTGCGCTCCCAGCCCCCGTTGCCCCGACACCCTCACCCATTGCCCTCCCAACCCCCATTGCCCCGATACCCTCACCCATTGCCCTTCCAACCCCCGTTGCCCCGATACCCTCACCCCTTGCCCTCCCAAGTTCCCAACCCCCGTTTCCCCGATACCCTCACCCCTTGCCCTCCCAACCCCTGTTCATGCGCCGTGATTGCACCACAGTTCAATGATACCTTCCCTTCCTCAACACCCCTCTTCCTTCCGCCTGCTTGCCCTCCCAACCCCCGGTGACAGAGCAGGGACGGCCCGCTGTTCCCAGGAGGGCCACGCACGCACGCTGTGGTTGCACCGCACTTCAATGCCACCTTCCTCCGCCACGCCTCCTCCTTCCTCGTCCGATCCATTCCCAGTGTAAGCCCTTGCTGCTTTGAGACGTCTCAACACTATTCCCAGTGTAAGCTCCTGCTGCTCTGAGACGTCTCAAAACTATTCCCAGTGTAAACCCAGTGCCACCCCATGCTGCCATGTTTACCTGATATTGAGCTCAGAGTATTAGATCTTTGAGTTGTCTCAAAACACGCCTCCTCCTTCCTCGTCCGTTCCTTTTGCAGTGTAAGCCCTCGCTGCTGCCAGCGCATGCTGCCATGCACACCTGATAGTGAGTAACTCAGTATCTGACTCGTACTCGATAGTCTTCCAATCCAAGTATCAAAATGAGTCGATTCGAGTCGGCTCTCACGAATCGTCTTTACTCGTTTAGTCCAATCCGCAAGTACTAGTACCACTCGCATCATAATCACATCTTTTGCTGTAAACTATGGTCCTGTGTGCTCTCCCCTCTCCTGTTTTTCAATCAGGGCGATAAGAGCAGTACAAGCAAGCACATAGATGGTGCATCTGGACCAGCTGCATCCTGATTGCACCTTCTGCTTTACCCTACAGTCCTGTGAAATCTCCCCTCCCACTCTCCCCTCTCCCCTTTTATATTTCGGGAGATAAGGCCAGTGCAACACATGGACGGTGCATCTGGACCGGGTGAATGCTGACTGCTCTGGTTTTTGTACCCTATGGTCCTATGCCCCTCTCCCCTCTCCCGTCTCCCCTCTCCCCTCTTGTAATCAGAGCGACAAGAGCAGTGCGAGCACTTGGACAGATCCTAGTTGCACCTGCTGTTTTAAGCTGTGGTCCTATGCGCTCTCTTCTCCCTTCCACAGGGCGACAAGACCAGTGCAAGCACGTGGACGGTGCATCTGGATTAGGTGCATGCTGAATGCACCTTTTCCTTAATCTATGACCCTGTTCAATCTTTCCTCTTCCCTCTCCCCTCTCCACTCTCCCCTCTTGCTAATCAGGGCGATAAGACCACTGCAAGCACATGGACGGTGCATCTGGACCAGGTGCATCCGGAATGGTCACCTGTGCTTCAATACACCGACTATGTGGTCTTTGGGACTGGAGTTTGGTACACCATTGTGAGTTCTATAGATGCCCTATGACATAGTTATGAGTTACAATATGTCAGTACATTGACTACATGCTCTTTGGGATTGGAGCTTGGTACACCATTGTGAGTTATATACATGCCCTATGGCATAGTTATGAGTAGGCATGAGCAAAACCGAACACAAACGTGTTCGGGTCAAACATGTCACAGCACCTTTTGCGGGCGAACCGAACATGTTCGGTTCGCCCCGAACATTTTTCAGAAAAATGGTGTTCTTGTGTTCGGGTTAATAGGCAAACACTTAGGTGTTCGTGTCAAACACCTAAGTTCGAGGCGAACATGTTCGTGTTTGAATGTAGTCAGCAATTCGTGATAGTCACAACACTGCGAAACTTGATATTTGCACTGCTCATGAATGCCTTTCTGTGTAGCTGCGAAATAGGTTAAGGTCGCCTATTCTCTAGGGGGATTAGGGTGGCGTTCGCGTTTCCACTCGTCTAAACACTTAAATTGAGTGATGTCTTGACGATTAAAAAAAAAAAAAAAGAACTCAGATAAGGGCCTGGTGCTAGTCTAGGCTGTCGGACTAAGGTAGGAGAGAGATCGAGCTCAGAAATGAGCTCGATCGCTATTGTCGTCGAGTTGAATAATGGGTCGCCCGACCAGAGTCGCGCGGTCAACAAGACGAACAGGAATGTGTTTCCCGCGAACACATTCCAAACCCAAACATGTTCAGGTTCGGCGTGGCTGAGTTACGAAACCCGAATCGAGCCGATCATGTTCGGGTCGAACCGAATATGTGTGTTTTTTTTTTGCCGGTTCGGTTCGACTTCCAGTGCCAAGCTGTGTCGAACATGTTGGGGTTCAAATGTGTTTACTGATATCCACAACCCCCCCCTACCGTACAGGCAGTAAGGAACTCAAATACACGGCAAATTTCAAGGTTTTTGGCAGTGGGACTAAAGCGAAATAAACCCAAAAGGCGAACACGAACATGTTCGCCCCAAACATGTTTGTGTTCGAGGCGAACAACACATACGTGTTCGCCTAAAGAGCTGAACACACGAACACCCTTTTCAGAAAAAAATGTTTGAAGCGCACCGAACATGTGTTCGTCATATGCTCGACTGTGTGGTCTTCGGGACCGGAGCTTGGTACACCATTGTGAGTTCAATGCCCCGGATGACACCACAACCATGAGTAGACATGAGCAACGATCGAACTCGAACAGGTTTGAGGCGAAAGCCTTCAAAGCTGTGCCTTCATCGAACCGAACGCGTTTGGTTAGACGCGAACTTTTTTCTTCAAAAGTCAGGTTCAACCGTTGGACCTTCATGTCGAACAGTGTTAGTGTTGGACCCCAACTTGAACAGGTTCGAGTCATGGGCTCCATTCACCATACTCACATTTAGGGCGGGATAACAAAAAGCGGGCTGACATTTACACATTCCCACATAATAGCACAAGAACTCGTCTCCCTTCCAGCCGTAACCCCAACCCCCAACCCCCAACCCTTCTTCTCCTCCGCCTTCCCATCCAGACGTATTTTGGAAAGGGACAACAACAAAGACACTACTTGGTTCACACAAAAAGCAGCAACGAGTCACAACATTGCATCACAACATAAAGTACTCATCTCGCTTCCCTGCTCACCCCAACCCTCCTCCACTGCACCTCCCCTCCAGGCCACCTCAAGAAGAGGCAGGGTCTACAAGGAGCCCTAAACCAAGCCTTTTCAGACGTCTCAAAGGTCCTTCACCCCAATCCCCCTCTGACCCATCTCCCCTCCAGGCCAACCTCAAGAAGAGGCAGGGTCTACAAGGAGCCCTAAACCAAGCCTTTTCAGACGTCTCAAAGGTCCTTCACCCCAATCCCCCTCTGACCCATCTCCCCTCCAGGCCAACCTCAAGAAGAGGCAGGGTCTACAAGGAGCCCTAAACCAAGCCTTTTCAGACGTCTCAAAGGTCCTTCACCCCAATCCCCCTCTGACCCATCTCCCCTCCAGGCCAACCTCAAGAAGAGGCAGGGTCTACAAGGAGCCCTAAACCAAGCCTTTTCAGACGTCTCAAAGGTCCTTCACCCCAATCCCCCTCTGACCCATCTCCCCTCCAGGCCAACCTCAAGAAGAGGCAGGGTCTACAAGGAGCCCTAAACCAAGCCTTTTCAGACGTCTCAAAGGTCCTTCACCCCAATCCCCCTCTGACCCATCTCCCCTCCAGGCCAACCTCAAGAAGAGGCAGGGTCTACAAGGAGCCCTAAACCAAGCCTTTTCAGACGTCTCAAAGGTCCTTCACCCCAATCCCCCTCTGACCCATCTCCCCTCCAGGCCACCTCAAGAAGAGGCAGGGTCTACAAGGAGCCCTAAACCAAGCCTTTTCAGACGTCTCAAAGGTCCTTCACCCCAATCCCCCTCTGACCCATCTCCCCTCCAGGCCAACCTCAAGAAGAGGCAGGGTCTACAAGGAGCCCTAAACCAAGCCTTTTCAGACGTCTCAAAGGTCCTTCACCCCAATCCCCCTCTGACCCATCTCCCCTCCAGGCCAACCTCAAGAAGAGGCAGGGTCTACAAGGAGCCCTAAACCAAGCCTTTTCAGACGTCTCAAAGGTCCTTCACCCCAATCCCCCTCTGACCCATCTCCCCTCCAGGCCAACCTCAAGAAGAGGCAGGGTCTACAAGGAGCCCTAAACCAAGCCTTTTCAGACGTCTCAAAGGTCCTTCACCCCAATCCCCCTCTGACCCATCTCCCCTCCAGGCCACCTCAAGAAGAGGCAGGGTCTACAAGGAGCCCTAAACCAAGCCTTTTCAGACGTCTCAAAGGTCCTTCACCCCAATCCCCCTCTGACCCATCTCCCCTCCAGGCCAACCTCAAGAAGAGGCAGGGTCTACAAGGAGCCCTAAACCAAGCCTTTTCAGACGTGTCAAAGGTCCTTCACCCCAATCCCCCTCTGACCCATCTCCCCTCCAGGCCAACCTCAAGAAGAGGCAGGGTCTACAAGGAGCCCTAAACCAAGCCTTTTCAGACGTGTCAAAGGTCCTTCACCCCAATCCCCCTCTGACCCATCTCCCCTCCAGGCCAACCTCAAGAAGAGGCAGGGTCTACAAGGAGCCCTAAACCAAGCCTTTTCAGACGTCTCAAAGGTCCTTCACCCCAATCCCCCTCTGACCCATCTCCCCTCCAGGCCAACCTCAAGAAGAGGCAGGGTCTACAAGGAGCCCTAGACCAAGCCTTTTCAGACGTCTCAAAGGTCCTTCACCCCAATCCCCCTCTGACCCATCTCCCCTCCAGGCCAACCTCAAGAAGCGGCACTACATGGTCGACAACATGGAGCAGCCGTACTTTGAGACTTTCAACGCTACGCAAATGGGCAAGCATTCATCTCCCTTGCACCCTTCACCCCGTGTTGTCCTCCGCCCCGCGCCTCCCCTCCAGGCCGATCTCAAGAAGCGGCACTACATGGTTGACAACAGGGAGCAGCCAAGCCTGAACCGCCTAGCCACCATGCAAACCGCCCTCCATACAGTCACACGCTTCACCCACAGCATCAACTACACGGGGATGCCCATCCTGCTTACCTACTCGCCCGTGCATGCCAATGTTCGAATCAACAGCTCTGCTCCCGAGCTCAGCTGTAGCTCCTACATGCAGCCACTGGGGCCGGACGCCCTGCAAGGGGCACAGTGGGCTACAGACGCCCTAGAGGCTCGGAATGCGCAGATAGAGGTGAGGTTAGGAGAGGTGCTGAGGGGTTAAGGTGGACCAGGCTGTAGCAATTTGGACGGTGGGGCCGGATACCCTGCAAGGGGCACAGTGGGCTACAGACGCCCTGGAGGCCTGGAACGCACAGATCGAGGTGAGGTTCGGAGGGGTGCTGAGGGGTTAAGGTGGACCAGGCTGTAGCAATGTGGACGGTGGGGCTGGATACCCTGCAAGGGGCACAGTGGACTACCGGCGCGAAGTAGGCTCGGAACGAGCAGATAGAGGTGTGGTTTGGAGGGGTGCTGAGGATTTGCGATGGGGTGAATGGTGGGGCTGCTATGGCTTGAGTTGAACCAGGCTGTAGCGCAGACATGCAGCCTCGGGTGCCGGATGATGTAAGAGATACAGCTGCACTACTGTGGGCTACAGACGACTGGAGGTTCAAAACGGAGAGATTGTGGTGACTTGGTGAGCTGTAGCGTGGCGGAGCGCGGCTGTAGCGCGTTCATGCGACTTATGAAGGTGGAGGCTGTGCAGGCTCCAGCTGTAGCGGAGGGGCTTCAGATGTGTCGGAAGCACGATACACATAGATTGAGATGAGTTGAGGCTGGGTGCTGAGTGGGATGAGGTGGTTCAGGCTGTAGCAGCGCTTTCATGCGGTTGCTAGTTTTGCATGGCATGCATGCCACAGGTTTCTTGGGGGCTTGAAGCCAAGTACTTATTGTGTGCTTTTATCATGTGCGTTCATGTAATGTGTGTATCATATCCGTTGCTTGCAGGTGGTTCGACAATCAAAGGAGTTCAAAGTGGTTGATGTGACTGCACTCTCTGTTCTTCGCCCTGACGGGCACCTCCAAAACCATTGTGAGCATCCCAAGGCCGTTGATTGCATGCATTGGTGTTTGCCTGGCGTACTAGACACATGGGCTGATATAATTTATTCTCATGTTATGGAGTTCATGTAGGTAATATTTGTTTGTACATTCCTCGCTACATAGACATGGCCTGTAAGATATTTAGATAGTTCAATCATAATTTAGAGGCATACAATCAAGCTGTTAAAGACAAGATCAGACCACATGTCAGTCACACCTGGCACACACCAATGTGTAATCTAACCCACCATCGCCTTCTTTTGTGATTCTTCGTATAAGAATTTGGGCGGAAATGTGTGGCATACATAATATCTAGGATCTTACAGTTGCAAAATATGCAAGCAGGGTACACAATAAAGATGATACATCCATGAGCCTGGTGCATTCCTGGTGTTCTAGATAGCTTGACTTACTGGCATCATATACACCCTAATACCGGTATTCGACAGAATGGCACGCGATAAAGTAGAACCTCGAGTCGCGATTCGATGCTATCGCCTGAAGTTTGGGTTCAATGCGATATTTGTCAAAATGCATTATATACTTGTAGGCTGTTGTGGGGTAGCCCATATAGGGTACAACCCATTAGGGTTGCATACTTGTATCTCACTGCTGCTTATCACACATCATTCCGCTGTTCTCATTCTGACATGGTATCATGCGCTAGGTTACGTCCGACTACCGAACCTACTCCCGAACCTACGATTAGGTTAGGTGTGCCCCGCTGCCCCACGCCTCGATCGCCACTGCCCCGCACGTCGCGTGCCACTGTACCGCTGCCCCGCGAGTCGCACGCCACTGCCCTGCTGCCCGCGAGCCCCGCGCGCCCTACTACCCGCGCGCCCCGCGCCTTGCTGCCCCGCGCCCAGCGCGCCCTGCTGCCTGTGCGTCCCGTGCGCCCTGCTGCCCTACGCGCCCAGCGCGCCCTGCTGCCCGTGCGCCCCGTGCGCCCTGTTGCCCTCTGCGCCCCGCGCGCCCAGCTACCCGTGCGCTGCCCTAGCCGCCCGCGCGCTGCCCTAGCAGACCGTGCGCTGCCCTGTATGCCCTGCTGCCCTACGCGCCCCGCGCGTCCTGCTGCCCTGCGAGCCCCACGCGCCCTGCTGTCCTCGTGCCTCACGCGCCCTGCTGCCCTATGCGCCCCGCGCGTCCTGCTGCCCTACGCGCCCCGCGCACCCTGCTGCCCGCGCGCATCGCGCGCCCTGCTGCCCTACGCGCCTTGCGCGCCCTGCTGCCCAACGCCCAGCGCGCCCTGCTGCCTGCGCGCCCCGTGCGCCCTGCTGCCCTACGCGCCCCGCACGCCCAGCCACCCGCGCGCTGCCCTAGCTGCCCGCGCACTGCTGCCTGCCCTGCCCATACGCGTGCCCGCGTGCGCTGCTTTGCCCGTGTGCTGCCCTATGCGCCACGCCTGCACGCCCCGCTGCCCTGCAGCCGCCGCTCCTGCTACAGCTGCCGCTACAGCTGCCACTGCCGCCCTTGCGCCGCTGCTGCTGACTGTCGATGTCCGTAATGGCCACTATCACAGTCTTAGCGGTTGACACAGACGGACGCCCTTTCAAGTTAAGGCTGTGGCTCGAGTGCCTGCGCGGGTGTCTCCGGCGTTTCGTTAGAGATGGCGTCTCCCTAATCGAGCACACATCGGGGTCCCTACAGGCCCCCACGACTCCCAGTGAGCCTGCTGCTGACGCTGGAGAGGACATGCAGTGGCGGTACCGGGCGGACCGCCTTGCCTACACACAGTGGACGGAGCGCGACGCTGTCGCACAGCTTGCCGTCCGAGCTCACCTGCCGGTCGACCAACGGGCCGGGCCCACTTTCGTCAGGTGACGCCGGCCCAGAATTTTTACGACGCTGTGGTTAGACACTACTCCTCCCTCTCTCCTACCACCCGGCCACTGCGGCAGTACCGTCCGTTGTTAGGGGAGGTGCAGCAGCTGGTCGAGGCGGCGAGTGTAGGTACCTGTGCATCTGCTCGTACAGGTGGTGCCACTGGTGGAGGCGGAGGTTCTCGGGGTGGACAGCAGCGGCAGCAGCGTCAGCCGGAGACCCCCTCGCCGCAGCAGCTTTGGGAGTGGGTCTCCCAGCGACGTGTCCCTGGTAGTTTAGGGGCTACTAGTCTAGGTGCCTGAAGCCTGTTAGCACAGGTGCAGCCCCTGCGGAGGCTTTGCACACCTTCATGCTTGACTCCGGCGCGTCTCGCTGCTTCTTCCGCGACTGCACCACAGTCACACTGCTCACTACACCTGTCCCGGTCACTCTGGCTGACCCATCCGGGGGCCCAGTAGTAGCACGTGCCTCCACCGTTCTCCTGTGTTCGACAGCCCCTTCCAGCTCGCTCGCAGGTCTCCACCTCCCGTCATTCACTACGAACTTGGTGAGTAACGCTGTCCTCCAGGACCCGTTGGTCACCACCACTACTCCTGGGGGTGAGCTTGTGGCGGTCTGTACGGACTCACGGACTGACGCCCACCTCGCCACGTTCACTCGGAGACCCGGGTCTGGCCTGTACACACTGACCACTGAGTCCGCACAGGTAGCTGCGTCCGGCCAGTTAGCTGCGTCTTGCTCGTGTCAGTTACTCACGCACCCGTCTCTCCTCTGGCCCCACCGTCTTGGTCACCCCTCCCTGCCGCGTCTGCGTGGCTTGCACTCCCGTCTCCTTGTCTCTGGCCTACCCAGGTCCCTGCCCCCGCTCACGCGCTCGCCTGCACCGCCGTGCCTTCCCTGCGTCGAGGGGCGGTAGCGCGCCGCTCCTCATCCTCCTCGTTTCCTCCGACCACTGCTCCTCTGCAGACTCTCCACATGGACGTGTGGGGCCCCGCCCGCATCACTGGCCAGGGCCGAGAGCGCTACTTTCTGCTGGTTGTTGACAACTACACGCACTACACCACGGTCTTCCCCTTGCTGAGCAAGGCGGATGTCCTAAGTGTCTTGATCCATTGGATCTGTGCTGTCTGTCGTCAGCTAAGCGCATGGTTCCAGCAGGACCTCCAGGTCCTGCGATTGCACTCTGACCAAGGTGGTGAGTTTTCCTCCCACCTCCTTGAGGAATTTTGTCGTAAGGAGGGCATCTCCCAGTCGTTCACGCTTCCGGCCTCTCCACAGCAGAACGGGATTGCTGAGTGCCGCATTAGCTTGATCATGGAGGTTGCTCGCACCTCCATGATCCATGCGGCTGCTCCCCATTTTATATGGCCGTTTGCGGTCCGATACGCCGCGCATCAGCTCAACCTCTGGCCCCGTGTCTCCGTGCCAGAGACCTCGCCTACACTGCATTGGAGGGGGGAGGTTGGCGATGCGTCGACGTTACAGGTCTGGGGTTCGCTTGCCCTTGTCCGCGATACCACTGCCGGCAAGCTCTCTTCTCGCACCGTTCGCTGCACCTTCCTTGGCTTTCCCACCGACGCACCTGGCTGGCAGTTTTACCACCCCGCCACGCGTAGCGTCCTGTCCTCCTAGGACGTCACTTTTGACGAGTCGGTCGGCTTCTACCGTCTCCACCCCCACCGCATTTCCCCCGTCCCCCCTCCTCCTCTCTTCTTGGTTCCAGGTCCCCCCCCGGTAGACCCCCTCCCCCCACAAGGTCTTGCTCCCTCAGGTGTGTCTCAGGTTGACTCATCCCCCTTGGTTGAGCCTTTGGAGGTCTCCTCTGACACCTCTGGCCCAGCTGAGGGGGTTGACCCCGCTGCTGACGACACATCGGCCACTCGCCGCTCACCGCGCTTGGAGACCCCTCCTGGTTTTCCACCTCGGCCGTCTTCACCGCCTCTGCAGCCTGTCGCTATGGACTCCGGTGCTGCTGGGGGTGGTGACACTGGAGGTGCGGACTCTGGGGGTGCTGGTTCTAGGGGTGCTGAGTCTGGGGGTGCTGGTTATGGGGGTGCTAAGAGTCCGATTGGTGGTGGAGTCGTGGGTGCTCCTACTGGAGGTCCTGGGAGTGGACAGCAGCGGCATTCTCGTCGGCAGGAGACTCTCTCGCCGCAGCAGCTTCGCGAGTGGGTTCTTTGGCGAGGCCGCTCTGATGACAGAGTTGGAGCTACTGGTGCTGGAGGTGCTGGAGGCGCTGGTGCTGGAGGCTTTGGTGCAGGAGGTACTGGAGCTGGAGGTGCTGGAGGCACTGGTACTGGAGGTGCTGGTGCTGGAGGTACTAGAGCTGGAGGTGCTCGTCGGCAGGAGACTCTCTCGCCGCAGCAGCTTCGTGAGTGGGTTCTTCGGCGAGGCAGTTCTGGTGAAGGAGTTGGAGCTACTGGTGCTGGAGGTACTGGAGCTGGAGGTACTGGAGGTGCTGGTGCTGGTGCTGGAGGTGCTGGTGCTGGAGGTACTGGTGCTGGAGGTGCTGGTGCTGGAGGTACTGGAGCTGGAGGCGCTGGAGGTACTGGAGCTGGAGGCTA